GGGGAGGGAGGGGGAGGGCGGGCCGTCGGCCGCGGCTCGCGCGGTCGGCTCAACGCCGCGGGTTGTGTTAGGCGGAGCGGGACGAACTCGCCTCGCGACTCGACGCGGTGCAGAAGGAGCTCCTCATGAAGACGGAGCACTCGACCGCCGTCCAGTCCAAGGCGCGTTCCGCCCTGAGCAGCGCGTCGGAGCACGAGGCGATCGTCGCGCGGCTCGAGGCGAAGCTGCGCCAGTCCGAGGCCGAGTACCGGTCGGCCCGCTCCGTGCGCGCATCGCTCGAGGCGGAGCTCTCCGCCGCGCGGCAGCAGCTCGCAAAAGGGCGCGAGGCGGAGGCCGAGGCGGCGCGGCGGCGGGGGGAAGAGCGCGACCAGGCCGAGGCGGCGCTGGCGGAGGCGCGCGGCGAGGCGGAGGCGTTGCGGCGGGCGGCGGGCGCGGCGGAGAGCGCGCGCGCGGAGCTGCAGTCGAAGCTCGACGCGGCGACCCGCCGGCGCGACGACGACGCCGCGGCGCACAGGGGTGCGCTGCAGCAGCGGGAGCGGCGCGTCGCAGAGCTCGAGGGCCAGCTCGATACGGGGAAGCCGTCCGAGGCTGCGATGTTCAACATTGCGCGCGACCAGGCGGGGGGAGGGCGCGAGGCGGGCGGCACAGCCACGGCACGTCCATGACCCGTCCGTGGCCCTTTGTCCCCAGGCCAAGCGCGACGCCGAGGCGGAAAAGCTGCGCGCGCAGCTCGCCTCGCTGCGCAAGATGCTCAAGGAGTCGCACCGCGTGCTCTCGCACCTGATGAAGCAAGAGTCCGCCCTCAAGGCTGAGGGCCGGGGATTGCGAGCGAGATACCGCGACTCGTCACTCTCAGAAGAAGAGGCGGCGCACCACAGGCGGAGCTGGCCGTCACGCGACGCGACCTCGAGCGGCAGCAGGGCCTCAACGCCGTCTACCTCAAGAACGTGACCCTCGCATTCCTGCTCGCCGTCTATGGCGACGCCGACGACGAGGAGCACACACCTGCCTCGCGAGGGCATGTCCTGGACACGTCCACGACACGCCCGAGACATGTCCCGTAGGAGCACATCCGCCTCGCAAGGGTGCTGGGCACGGTGCTCTCCTTCTCGCCCGAGGAAACGGCCAAGGTGGAGGCGCGGATCGCAGAGTACTCGGAGTCGTGGTGGGGCGGCCCCGCGAGCCTGCTGCGCGACTCGCAAGCCGACGGCTACGCCGGCCTCACGGGCAGTCTCACCGAGACCATCACGGCGCTGCCCACCGCACTCAGCTCGTGGTTCTGGGGCGGCGGCACCGCCGCGCCCGCAGCAACATCGTCGAGCTCGTCGGCGCGGCCAGCCCTCGCCTCCCTTACTACGCCCGGCCGACCGTGAGGCGGCGCACTTTTCATACAATAGATACGTTTTTAGAATTGCAACGAAAGGACGTGGCGAGTCGAGAGCGCCCCTGTCTCGCTAATCGTTGCTGTGCGTGTGGGCTGTGGCAATGGGGAATGGCCATGGGGCGCGCGCATGGGGGAAGACACTGCGCTGTGTCCAGTGAACAGCGGTCAGCGCGCAGCGGCTAGCGCCCTAGGAGGTATCTTCTTCTCAATAACAAGGTCTGAGAGAGAGATTTTTGAAAACCAACACAAGAAATCACGACTGTCACAGTGATTTGGGCTCGGCAGCTTGTCAGCCCTCAGCCGAAGCTGGCTAGCTGGGGCCGGTCCCGTAGCCGAGAGAGCCCGCGCCGTTGAGTTCGACGCGGTCGGGGGGCCTTGCGGAGAGGCCAGCGAGATGGCGATCGCTGTACTTCTCATGCGGGTCATCAAGTGACCGCGACTGACAAGCCAGAGGTCGATACTCTGGACGACCCATAGGATGCCACGAATGCCTGAAGGAGAGGGAGGCGAGGCCAGAGGCAGACTCAGCTGCTCTCGAAGGGTGATCTCGCTTTGGTGGCCGAAGGACCCGATGGTCCTGTCACATTCGCGTTCCGAGTCGTGGGGGTAGAAGATTGCGGGGGGGCATCGAGTCAGCACTTCCTTGTACAGCGGACCGCCAGGCTCGCCGGCAGCATCCGCAGGGAGGCAGCATATCAGGCACCCTGTCTTCTGGAGAGCTCAACAGCTGCCGCCGCGATGGCAGAGTCGGCCGCGGTTCGAGCGAGCAGCTTTTGGCTGCGGGATCGCGCGTGTGCGAAATGCGACAACAGACGACAGACGACAGACGACAGACGCCCTGAGCGCTGAGCGACTGAACGACCGTCGCCGCAGTCGACACCGCCGCCATTTTGACGAGCAGCGCGAGCGCGCTCGTCGGCGGCCAGCCGTCGCGGGCCGGGCCGAGCCCGGCCTCAACCGGCCGCGCCGCCGCAGCAGGCCCGGAGGCCCACATGGCGGCCGACCAGCTGATAAGGTGCTTCTCCAAATGTCTGTGAAGAGGAGCCTTACTTACACGCAGTACGTGTGCAGTCCCGACCTGTGTAGCGGTGTTGCGGGGTCATCCCGCGCGAGCGAGAGCCGAGAGAGTACAGACAGAGCTGAGTGGGTTCGCCCGGCATTTTCAGAACGTGCAACTACCGCGCATGGCGCTGCACAGGTGGACGTACGATGTTTGGCCCGATAGAGCCGCGCAGAGACGTTGCCGTTTCGCCAACAACCGGCCCCATAGAAGCGAGCGCCGGAGCAGCCCCCACGCGTCAGCGCGGCCTGGGCAACGCTATCAGTGCCGATCGCGGTCCAAAGACCGGCTGCTGCTGGATTGGGCAGTGCACTGCGACCACCAAGCGATGCAAAGCACAGGAGCCGCAGAATGCCGAGGCGGCGAGCGCGCTGGTAGTAGTCGTAGGCGTCACCACAGTCACATTGTGGCGGAGCTGCTCTTAGTCTGAGATAGAAAGAAAGAAGATGTATGTAGGATTGCGAGCGTCAGGCAGGGCTAGCAATCGTACAGAGATGCTACGATTGCGAGGAGCGCTGCTCACAATCCTTCGACTTCTAGGATTGAGAGCAGCGCTGCTCTCAATCCTACCTTGGTACAAAAGAAGGTTCCCCCCCCCGGGGGGGGGGGGGGGGGGAGCGAGTTTGCTTTTGAGCTTAGCCTTCGATGTTATGAAAACAAACGCAAGGCGGACATGGCATATCGCTCTCGGGCTCACAGACATCCCTCACACCCGCCGCCCCCGCGCGCGCCCCACCTCGGCCGGGAGAAAGGGGAGTGACAGTTTGGGATGGCAACAGCCCGAGTATGTTGAGTCCTGGCTCAACAACGCAGAGAACAAGAGGGGGTGGTCCGGCTCACAAGTCCGGCTCACGCGCCTCGAGCTGACCCTCTACCGCACTGATCACTTCCGCCCCCTCGCTCCCAACCCATCCACCTCGCCCCGGGCCGCGCCGCGCGATCTCGGGCGATCTCGCGCTATCTCGGGCGATCTCGGGGCCGCGCCGCGCTATCTCGGGCGATCTCGGAGCGTCGCTCGCGCGGCGTCACACCTGCTCAAAAAGGAAGGAGGTTGGAGGCAGGAGGTCACGCCCCATCCAGAGCGCCGTCGTCGCGTTGTTTTTTTTTTGGTTTTTGGCTTTTTGATGCGACGCGCCCGCCGGCCTCACGGGAGTCGCTTAGCGTTAGCTCCAGAACCATGGCGTTCCTCGGTGAACTCAGCGTTGCTCTGCTCTGCCTCCTGATCGTCTACTTCCTGTGCGTGCGGGACCGCAAGCGCTTGCCGCCGCTCGCGACGGAGAGCATGTTCACAACAATCGCAGCAATGACGACCAGCGATGCGCCCTGGTTCGTGCTGAGCCTGGCTCAAAAGTACCCTGGCCGCGTATTCAGGATGCGTGTACCGCAGTGGAGGCCGTGGGTAGTCATCGCGGACGGGCCGACGGCGCGTGCGGTGCTGCGAGCACGCGCCGCTGACAAACCATCCCTCTACTCCAACTTCGATGGCATGACCGCGGGCTGGGCAAGCTTCTTCACCTCTCCCGATGGGCCGCGGTGGGCGCATGCTCGGAAGGGGGTCTCTCACGCGTTCACCAGCTCGCTCATCCGGGACAAACTTGACGCCCTTCAATCGTGCGCTGCGCTCGGCCTCCGGCTCGACGTGCTATCAGCCTCTGGCGAGGAGTTTGATGCCGCACAGCTAATGATCGAGTTGATGATCGACGTGCTGGGCGAGACAGTGCTGGCGGGGTTTGACTTTGGAATGCTGCGTGGCGGCGGCGATTCCTCAGGTATGGGGCTGCGGTTTCTCGAGGCGGTCGAGCCGGCGCTAATCGAGTACGCCCTAAAGCGCACAAACAACCCGCTCCGCAAGCTGATGGCGTTTGCCATCCCCGAGGCGCGCGCGGCAGGCCGCGCCGCAGTCGAGCTGATGCGCATCGCCAATGAGGTCATGGAAGAATTCCGTTCTCGTCGCGAGGCGGCGGCGTCCGCTTCCGAGCGCGAGGAGCTTGACGCGACCATAATCGGGAAGCTCGTGAGCAACCCGAACTACGCGCACGAGCAAGAGCGCGCGGCGGACGTGGTGACGTTCCTGATCGCGGGCCACGACACGACTGGCTTCACGCTCGCGTGGACGCTATACGAGCTTGCGGCCCACCCGGAGATCGCAGACCGGCTTGCTGCGGATTTGCGCTCGAACAACGAGGTAGCACCTGAGCGCTCAGAGTACCTCGCCGCAGTGATCAACGAGTCTATGCGCCTCTGGCCCGTCGCTGCGATGGGCTCACTCCGCGTGCTGGCCGAGGACCTGGCTCTCTCGGACGGTGCTGTCATCCCCGCGGGTGCGATTTGCTCCATCCCTTTCCTGCCGGTCCATCGGACGGCGCCGGTGCAGGACGCCGGAACCTTCAAACCAGAGCGATGGCTGAAAAATGTCGAGCCATCGCTGAAGGAGAACTTCATGCCCTTTTCAACTGGCCGGCGAAATTGCGTCGGCCAGACGCTCGCGTTGGCGGAGCTCAAACGGTTCCTCGCCTTGATTGTCACCGGATACAAGCTGGAGCTGGTTCGGCCTCCGAAGTCCGACTACTTCTTGACCCTGAAGCCCGCCGATGGCCGCTTGCGCGTGAGCAGGCGCCCCCCCATGTCGCATTGAGGCCTCATCATCGGATGCCCGCCATGATGCCTGCGAGGTGCAATACACGTATGCAGAAACGAGAGCGAAAGAGTTCCAAGCGGCGATGTCGGTTGAGGTGTGCGTCGTGTTTCGCGTCTGGTGTCTATTAGCTGATCGCACAGACTCCAAGTGTGCTCCAAGTACTCCCAGAGTTCGTCAGGGAGGGGAACTAGCTCTAATACAAGGTGATACTAATAGAGCGCACGTACACGCTGTGGATGCGCCTTGGATGCGGCCCGGCGCACGTGAGACGTGTACTGCTGTACTCTACGCGCCAGTACGCGCGGTGTTCGGAACAGTGTTCCATGTGCGCGATGTTGTTTCATGTTTGAACACTCATACGTCTCGACAGGTAAAAGAGATCTGCAGCAGCCTACTCTAGGTGGAGTGCACCTGCACGCTGCAGGACCGCCCCTGCGCTCGCCTGTTTTTTGCCGGTAGGGGTCCCTCTCGCTCACTCTCGTCGGCCTTGTCACACAGTCACACACACACACACGCTGCACCGCACCGCGCGCCCGCCCATCGCCCCGCCTAGGCGGGAAAGAGATGAGGGGATGGAACAGCGAAGGAGGAGCCCAAACACGTATCGACGTATGGGAGGTTAAAGTTGTGCGTCACGCTGCCGGGCGTTTCTCACTTTCCAGGACAGCGCGACAGCCCCGCCCTTGCGGGGCAGGAATGTGACGACTACCCCGTACGCCCTGTTGCTTCTACCCCGACGCCGACCGCCCATTCCCCTCCTCGTTCCCCCCTCATCTTCTCCAACCTCGACGAGCCGACGACCTTCGAGTAGCCGTTTCTCACGTTTCCACCGCACGCTCTATGGCGCTTGCGCGCCGCCTGCCCCGCCACCCCCTTAACCACTCCCAATCCCCTACCCACGATCCCGAGCTTTGCTCGTTTGCCCCCTCAGCGCGTGCCGAAACTCCTCCTCGCTCACCTGACGAGGCACGGTCGCACCCGGACCGCAATGTCAAGGCAACGTGGTGCCTTTCCTTTCAAATTTCCGGCTTCAAGTCCCATCGTGGATAATATCTCCTCTCGCACCAAGCCGTCCTCGTCGAGGTCGGCGCTCGAAATCATCTCCGCCAACTCCTCGTCCGTCATCTCCTCGCCTGTGCTCACACCAAGCGTGGTGAAGATCGCCTCCTCCGAAGCCAACTATACTCGTCCGGCATCTCCTCGCCCAGACCACGCGTGACCTGCCGCAAGCTCTCAAATGAGACGCCGCCGCTACCGCTGTCAAAGAGACGGAACGCGCGCCCGTGCTCCCCGCTGCTCTCTCGCTCGCCCATTTTTTGGACGAGGGTCAGCATCTCGCTAAAGTCCACGGCATTTGCACCCCTCGATTGGTCGCTCAGCATGCCACACACCTGGTCAAAGCGGGGACCTGGTCAAAGTTGGCGGTGAGAGGGGAGGCGGGATGGAATGCCAACGGTTCTAGCCGTCCCTCGCTGACCCCGCGCTCCTCTCTCTCTGCGGCTTCTGCTGCTCTCACTTCATCGTGGCCGAGCTCAAAGCCGAGGGCGCGGAAGACCACCCGGAGCGCGCTGACGTCGATGACGCCGTGGCCGGCCTGGTCGAAGAGGTCGAACGCCCTCCGGATGTCGCGGCGGTGCGCGTCCGTCAGGCCCAACATTGGGTTGAGTGGGGCCAGACGGTGCCGGTGGGCGTGCCCGCGGTCGCGGACGTTTCATGTCGAGAGAAGAATTTTACACAGAGAAGAATTTTCAATCAGGTCGTGCGCGAGAGAAGAATTTGAGCATAGCCGCACACGGCACGCCGCCACCACACAGGGATTTTAAGGAGAGGAGAGTGTGATGCGCTAGCCGTCGCCCACCCTGGGGAGTCTGCCTCTTCGTATCTCTTTTCGCAGTCTCTCGCCGCTCCTCGCTGCAACCTTCATGCCACCTCGCGGCCGTCCCACTCTCGTCGTTCTCTCCCTTGTCACTTCGTGGCAAACACAGGCATTTAGCAAAAGGCCCTGTAAATTCTTTGGAAGAGGAGGAGGGGGAGAGTGAGGGGGAGGCGGAGGCGGGGGCACCTGTGACGGCCCCCTACAAGAAGGGCGACTACGTTTGCGCGGGAGAAGAATTGCGACCTGCGTTTGCTCGACTTCGAGACGTTCGGCGGCTTCGGGGACGGCGTCCGCAGAATTCTTCGGCAGGCGGCGGACCAGCTGAGTAACAAACTTTCGCACGCTCAGCACCTCGATGAGGTCACATGGACCACCAAGAACTGGCACGGGCTGCAGATGCAGCGCTTGTCTGTCGTTCTCCACACCGCCGTGGCGTGGCAGACGGTGAACGAGCTAGCGTGCGGGGACAGCGGCATTGTGCACGGAGCTAAGTGCATTGCCGTTCTTAACGGAGTCGCTTAGGCGGCTCCGGTGGTGTGCCGGTGATAGTACTAGCACGCGCCAGTTCGCACCTGTGTCGAGCCTGTGTGCTGCGAGAGAGAGTTCTTTTGTTTGAATTCTTTGGTGGTTCACGAGAAGCGGCGTCGCGCCGCAAGCGGAAATCGTGCACGGACCGAGCCGATGGAGTGGAGCGCGGAGGCCCACAGCCGCTTGCAGGACGCGCTCCGCCTGTACCCCAGTAGCCTCGGGAAGGAGGAGCGCTGGCAGCGCATCGCCGAGCACACCGGCCGCCCAAAGCGGGAGTGCGTGGCACGCTATCGCGAGGTGGCCGCCGAGCTGCAGGCCAACAAGGCCCTCGACCAGCCCACGGGCCACGGCGGCGGCGCGATTGTCGCGGCGGTGCGGCATGCGCCTCTCAAAGCGCCCGTCACCCCGGCCCCGATTGGGCGCGAGAACCTCGGCTCGCCGCGCTCGAGCGGCGCCGAGGGGCTGGTGGACCCAATCTCGCTCGAGCCGCTCGCAGCCCTCGGCTATCCGCCCTTCTCGCTCGCCGCGGACTTGGACCACCCCTCCGACAACGACCTCTTCGACGGCAACGTCCTCGCGTCGTACCTCGTCAGCACGGGCCGGTTTGAGCACCCGATCTCCCGCCGGGCGCTCGAGCGGTCGGAGTGTGCTCGCCTCGACGGGTACCTCGCCTCGCACCGTCTGCCCGCGGCGCGAGTCGCCTACGCCTTTGACCACCGCGACGAGTTTGCGTCGGATGGCAGCGGCAACCAGGTCGCGGCCCTGCGAGAGGAGGCGTCCGCCGTGCTGCAGTCGCTCTTTGCCGCTCGCTCTCCCGCGGCGGCGGCGAGTCGCGACGTCGAGCGGAGCCCGCTACTCGGCCGCGGCCGCCGTCTGCCCGACGAGCCCGCCATCAGCAGCCACTACGATGGCTTCCTCCTCGTCGACGACGATGCCGTGCCGGGCGCGGCGTCGGGCCGCTCAGGCGGGGAGCCAGCCCGGTGGGCGGGGCACGGGGCGGCAGTGCCTCCGCCTCGGGGAGCAGCGCCTTTGGCGCGAGCAGCGCCTTTGGCGCGAGCGGCGCCTTTGGCGCGAGCGGCGCCCGCCCCACAGCCTGCCGCGCCTGCCCCGCGGCCCGCTGCCGGGCCCGCCCCGCGCGAGCCGGGCCCTCCGCCGGAGCTCTCCTTCCCCTCCCTCGACCAGAGCCGGGTGGCGGCCCAGCGGCCTCTCTCGGTGGCGTGGGAAAGGCAGCAGCGGCGCGGCGCGCGCGCCGGCGGTGGAGGAAGCGGCGGTGGAGGAAGCGGCGCCCAAGCCGCCGCGCCGCCGAGGACCGTCGTCGCTGCGGGCCCGCTCATCGGCGGTGCCGGGCGGCAGCGTGGCGGCAACTACCGGCCAGACGCGTGCGTCATGTCTGGCGGCGGCGGCGCAGCCTCGTCTTCGGTCGCTCGCGGGCCGGTGAGCTCGGCGCCCGCGCCCGCGCCCGCGAAGAGCAAGGGGCAGAAGAAGGCGGCGGCCAAGCAGCGCAAGGCGCAGGAGGCGGTCGCGCTGGAGGCGGTGCACAGGGCGGAGGAGGCGGAGGAGGCGGCTGCGGCTGCGGCTGCGGTCGCGGCTGCAGCAGAAGCGACAGAGGAGCGGGAGAGGGCCGAGGCGGCGGCCGCGGCCGCCGCTGCGGCCTCCGCGGCCGCCGCAGCAGCGCGGCCGCTTGGAGTCACTCCAAGTTTGGAGCAGCTGAGTTTGGAGCGCCCCCGCCGCAAGGCGCTCGAGCCGGCGGCGGCAGGGGCGGCAGGGGCGGCAGGGGCAGCAGGGGCAGCTGGAGGGGTGGGAGGCGCGGCGGCGGGAGGGGCGGGGCGCTGGGCGGCGCTGCCTCCGCCTCCGTCGGATCGGGCGGACGCCGCCCGCCGCCACCGCGCGCTGCTGGCGGCCCTGTCGGCGCGAGCCGCCGCCGTCGCCGGCGCGGGCGACGAGGAGCAGCTGCTCGGCCCCTTCAAGGAGGCGTCGGCCGCGTTCGCATCGTCAGGGAAGGGCGCCGCCGGCGCGTCGACGCTCGAGGCTGCGGCGAGGGAGTATGTCGAGCTGACGCTCGACCTCTTTGGCAGGGAAGGGCTCGCGCCGACGCTACTCGAGCTCGCGGCCCTGCTTCCGAGCGAGCCGCTGACCCGCGCCATGAGCGCCGTCCTTCAGAGGCTGTGGGGGCTGGAGCGGGCGAGCGGCGCGGGCGGAGGCGTCGCGCGGGAGGAGGAGGGGGCGCTCGCGAGGCAGGTCTCTCTTGTCGAGCTGGCGAGCGGGCACCCTCCCGCGCGCAAGGGGGCCAAGGCGAGGACCAAGGCGGACGATTGCGTCTCGCGCAAGGGGGCGGCCATCGCCGTCGCCGCGCCGCCGCCCTCCGGCAGCCAGCCACCCGGCGCTACGGCCGCGAGCAACACCTCGTGCAGCAGCTCGAGCTTGCTGGCGCAGCTTGCGCAATTGGCGGACGAGTCGGATGCCGCGGAGGGGATCGCGGCAAAATATCGGCGCTGAGGAGGAGTCGATCGCCCTTCGCCCACAGACGAGTCGGATGCCGCGGCGAGGAGGGATCTCGAAAATAAGATAAAAAGGCAAAAGGAAAATCCCGCCTGGGCGGGGCAGCGGGTGGGCGCGCGGTGCGGCGTGGCGTGTGAGTGTGCGCGACTGCGACGACGGATCGCTCGCAAGGGACCATTGGGTTTGTACTATTAACAACGAAGGCGCTCTCAAAAGAAAAACATCCTGGACACACCTCGGTCCCAAGGACGGGATAGCTCCTCATCACTCGCCAAAGGTCGCTCGCCGAAAGGTCGCTCGCCGAAAGGTCGCTCGTCGAAAGGTCGCACGCCATGTGGCATCACCGGCTGTTGCGGCGCCTGCTGCTGCTTCTCAGCCTCGGACTCGCGCAAGCGCTGAGAGTCGGGCCTGCTGCGTCGCTGGCGCAGTTCGTGCTTGATAGGACATCTGTCCAACTCCACTCGGCCAAGCTGCAGTCTCTGCGCTCGGGCCGGGCGCTCCCGCAGGGGCTGCTGCAGATCTACGTCGAGGTCGAGGCTACGATCGACACGCCTCCCATCGGCGGCGGCCAGTCCGGTCCGGCGAGCTTCACGGTGTCGAGCGCAGACATCAACGTCGAGTTCGAGGGCGAGAGTGTGGGCCAGCTGCGGTCGACGCCGCTCAAGATCGCGGGCGGCGGCCGGATGCGAGCGACGCTCCGCGGCGTGCTCAGCGTGGATCCGCGGCAGGCGGCGGCGCTGAGGCGCCTCTCCGTCGCCGCCGTCTACCGCGACGTGCTGCAGGTGCAGATCTGGGCGGTGGTGACGGTGCAGCTGCGCGGGGAGGACTACGGCTGCTCCAAGGAGAGCGGCGCGGTGGCGGCCCTCGCCTTTCTCGGCAAGACGACCAGCTGCGGCGGGATCGGCACGCTGTCCATCCCGGGCATCCGGCTGGCAAAGTCGCTCTCGCTGCGCGGCGGGCGCGGCTTCGGCATCTCGCTGCGAGAGCCGCCCTCGGTGCTCGGCCTGCGGCTCAACGCGCTGCGAGAGGGCGGCGCCTTCCCGCTGCTGAGGAGAGTCGTGCGGAGCGTGAGCCCACTCGTCGGTTTGCGGAGCCATCAGTTCGAGGTGGAGCTCGAGGTCGAAAACAACTCCTCCTTCGGCATCGGCGGCCTCGGCGACCTCACTGCGTCGGTGCTCCTGCACGCGGGGAAGCACCCCGTCCCGCCGCCGCACGCTGCGCCGCGCGTGCCCGTCTCGGAGGCGCCTGCTGCCGCAGGCGATCCGGCGTCGGAGGATCCTGCCGTACTGCTTGGCCGGGTGCGAGCACCCTGCCCAGCCCTCTCTCCCCGGGCTCCCGCCTGACACCTCTATCGGCGGAGGGCGTAGGTCCGGTCGCGGGTGGCGCACTTCCTCCCCGAGGCGAGTCGTCTCCTGCCGGAGGTGCCTCGGCTGCAGGTGCCTCGGCTGCAGGTGCCTCGGCTGCGGCTGCCCTCGTGGCGGGCGCCGCTCGGCTTTGTCCGCAGCGAGGCGGAGGCGGAGGCGGAGGCGGAGGCGGGGGTGGGGGCGGGGGCGGGGGCGGAGGCGCCTTCCGTGCGCCACTCGTCGCGCGTGCCTCTCCGGGCGGCGGTCGCCCCACCGACCGGCGACGTGCCCCCCCCCACCGCCGCCGAGGTTGGCGTCCCCTTCGTGCGTGCCCGCCTGTCCGACGTGTCTCTCCCCCGCGGTCGGAGCCGCCTCGTCGCGCGCGCCGTCATCGAGTCGCCAGACAACGCGGCCGAGGCCATAGCGCTCGAGCGGGCCATCTCCTCGTACCTGCACGGCGAGCCGCTCTCGCTAGTCGCCGTCGTGACATCCTCCTCCACCCCGTTCTACAATGCGGCGGCGCGGGGCCTCATCCTACGCGCCGACCTCCCCGGGCTCATCGTCTCCACCGAGATCGTGTACGAGCTCTGCCTGCTCGCCCTGGTCGTGCTGCTGCTCCTCACGCTGCTAGTGCTGCTGCGCAGGGTGCGCGCCCGCGGGAAGACGGCGGCCGCCGCTCCGGCCGGGGATGGCGCCATGGTCTGAGCGTTCTGTCCATCGTCCTGAGCATTGGCATACCATGTGTCCATATTCGGTCTTTGTCGTGTTAACTTTGCATGTCGGCATGTGGTTGTGGTCATGTATAATGTATTTGTGGTCCTGAAGTCGAGTCTCGTCCGGCTCCGTGGCGCGTGCCGCATGGCCTACATTCCCGCCTCGCGGCACGCGGGTGCCCGCGGTCGCGCTCCTCTCGCGGGCCTTCATCATCAGGGCCGGCCAAGCAAAAAAACATATGGTCCGCGCCGACAACCCACAATCACATATGGCCGCGTCTGAGCGCGGTCGACGGTAGTCGGTACGACGGGTCGAGGACTATATATCCATCTCTCAAGTCCGTCGCGCGCGGCCGGTTGTGCCTGCAGCCTGGCCCTAGATATGTTCTTTGGGAACGTCCTGATCCTCTTTCGCTTCTCCTCCAGTCTAATTTATTCACGGTGCGCCTGATGAGCGACCCCTGGGGCTTACCATCACGTCAGTTGTCACACCCTCATCTTCTGGTGGAGACGCGCAATTCATACAGCGAAGTCCTGCCAGGGTAGCCGAGCCTCTTGGCATGGCCGTCGGCACCACCGGCGAGGCCACGAGAAGGCTTTGACGGGCGCTTGTGCGTGCCTCGCGCGACGACGCTCATCAGCTCTGTCGTCTTGGTTGGGCTCGCGCACAGGTCCTGCACCAGCTGCTGCACCGCGCCAGGGCGGTCCGCGTCGGCACGGTATTGAAAGAGGGGGCGCACGCGAGCGAGCTCCCGCTGCTTCACGGCGATCTCTCCGGCTGGAAGCCGCAGCAGTTCTGAGTGGACCAGAAAAGGCAAGGGTGAGAAGCTTGCTATGGGGAACAACGGGCAATGGCGCGCACCGTTGACGACGAGCAAAGGGTCCCTGCTCGCGCCAGCCCAGCTGAACTCGTAACTGAACTTCTTGTAGTCGAGGCGCCGGGCAAAGGGCCAGGCCGGCATGTCGGCGATCAGCACGGGGACGCAGCCGGCCAGGATCGCCTCTGAGAATCGGCGCGAGTTCTCGTGGTCGCCGCGCAGGACGAGACAAAAGGTGGAATTTTTGAGGTACGTTTGGTAGTGGGCCCTCGACTGCACTTCCTCCATCGAGCCAACACTGAGCGGGAGGTGCGCCGTCGCAGGGGGGAGGGCGATGCACTGTTTGCAGCTGAACTTGCACACCGCGCACCGCGGCTGCGCGCTGCCGTCGGAGGGCAGGTATGGAGCGGCGGCCTTTTGGACGTCCTCTGCGAGAAATGTGACGTTCGGGTGAGCTCGCAGGTGCGACCACATGAGGAAGCGGAGCTTGGTCATGGGGGGCTGGAGGTATGGCTTGCGAAGCTTTCCGACGTACGTGATGAAGTGACGACGAGCGTTTGCGCGTGGCGACGCGTCGCTCGCTGGAGATGGGGACACGATGGGCGGCGCAACGATGTCGTAGCCGTGCCGGTAGATGCACCATGGGTTGATGACGACCCATCGAGCCATATCGAGCCACACGGGAGCACGTACCTCCGCACACGATGGCAGCATGGGTGCGATCGCAAAATCGAACGGGCGATCTCGCCAGCGACGGAGCAGCTCTGTGTTCCCATTGAAGAGGCGCGCAGGGCCGCCCTTCAGCTGCCTCTTCCAGTCGTGCAGGGTCCAGCCCTTCTCCTGGTGTTTGAGAAAGTAGTGAGCAACGAATATGACTCTAGCCTCCTGAATCCTTGATGTCCGCAGGGCAGATGAGAGCAGCCCGGTGTGCATCCAGTGTGCGACGTGCTTCTCGGGAGTGGCGCTGCCCGGAAACTCAGAGGTAGAGGCCGAGTTGAATTCCGTGCCCGGATCCGCGATGTAGACCGTGCAATTTTGAGTACCAGCTCCACCTCTTGCTGCGACGGCGACGAGCAGCGCAGCCTGCACCCTCATGGGCGTGATGGGGGTGGGCACAAGTTTGGAATGAATCTCGCGGCGCGAAATTCTTTTTCCGGCTCGCTAGGGACACACGTTTTTCAGTGTATGTGGCTCTTACGCGTACATTCCCGTATTGTTGCTCGCCTCACAGGGATTTTCCGGAAAGCGAAAGGAAGGAGTGTGGTGCTAGCCGTCTCCCGTCTGTTTGCCCATGGCCGTCTGATCTCTCGTCACAGTTTCTCGCCAATTCTCGCAGCGACCTTCATGCCACCTCGCGGTCGTCGATTACACACACACACACACACACACACACACACACTCACGTCGATTTCTCCTTTCGAACATTTTTTTTTGCTCGCCGCTCATTGCAATATATGTCGCCGCGAAGAGCCGCGCTCCTCGCCGCGCTCACCGCCTGGCGTCTTCCTGCGGCTAGTGGCTGGCGGGCGGCCACCCCGCCTCCAAGCTGCTTCGGCGCGCTGGCCCACTGCGCGGCCGGCCACGCCGCCGCTCCCTGCCGCAGCATTGTCGCGAGACGGAGTCGCGGCGGCGTGGCGATGACGGGCGGTTGGCAGTATGCGCTCGCGGGCGGCGTCTGTGCTGCGGTCTCGCACGGCATCGCCTGCCCGGTCGACGTCGTCAAGACGCGCCAGCAGACGGTGAGCGCGGCGCCTTCTCCCGCCAGCCGCCAGCATACGGCAGCGCGTCTCCCTTCTCTGCGGCCCGCCGCTGACGGCCACCGCCGCCGCCTCGCCGCCCTCAGGTGCCGTCGTACTCGGGCATCCAGCTGCATGAGGGCCTCGCCCGGGTGGTGAGGGAGGAGGGAGCGTCCGCGCTGCTCACCGGCCTGAAGCCGACGCTGCTCGGGTACGGCATCGAGGGCGCGCTCAAGTTTGGCGCGTACGAGCGCGTCAAGGCGCCTCTCGCTGCGCTGCTTGTCCGGCTCGGCGCGGGCGGCTCCGCTCTGTGGCTCGGCCCGCTACTGGCCGGGCTGCTGGCGGGCGCGATCGCGTCGCTCGTCGTCGCGCCCGCCGAGGCGACGCGGATACGGCAGGTCTCCGACCCCGACTATGCTGGCGCGGGCATGCTCGGCGCGGCGGGCCTGCTGTTTCGGGAAGAGGGGCCGGGAGGCGCGCTTGTGGAGGCTGGCGCGGGCGGCGAGGCGAGCGCACGTCCGTGACGCGTCGGCGCCGGGGCCGTAGGGCTCTTCCGCGGCGTGCCCGCGACGCTCGCCAAGCAGCTGCCCTACACGGCCGCGAAGCAGGTCTTGTCTAGGACGTGTCTAGGACGTGTCTAGGACGTGTCTAGGAAGTGTCTAGCCCTACACGGCCGAAGCAGGTCTCCTTCGACGCCCTGTCGGAGCTCTTCGCCGCCGGACCGCTGCCTCGCTGGGCGTCGACCGCCGCTGCCGCCGCCGCCGCCGCCGCGCTGTCGACGCTGGCTTCGCAGCCGGGCGACGCGCTGCTCTCGCAAGTCTCGTGCTACAGCACCGAGGACGGCGACCTCTGCGTCGCCCCCCCGCCGGGTGGGCTGGCGGGCCTCGCCGAGCGGCTCGGCCCGCGCGGGCTGCTGGCGGGCTTCAGGGCGCGGCTGGTGCAGATGGGGCTGATCGTGACGCTGCAGTTGGTGCTTTACGACGCGGTCAAGGCCGCACTCGGGGTGCGATGACGCGGCAGCAAGTCCCCAAGTCGGCTAGCCAGTCGACCGCCGGCCAGCAGTCGTCGGGCGAGCCCGCGCCATAAAGGCGCTGGCCGCCTTTCGACGTGCGAGACTGGATTGTCTCGCGCGCGCAGTCTCGGCGATGCATATTGAGCCCGCATGAACCATATGAAATATGAGATACGCCGCGTAATGTGGGCCCTGTGGAGAGCCTGCTCGGCAAGACCGCCGGGGCGCGGCCCTGGCATGCGCCCGTTATATGTCTTTATTTCTCCACACGCACACCGCTTCGTTTTTCGGCGCCGGCGGGGTCGCGCGTGTCGCGTCTCCCTCTCCAGGCCACAAACCCAACGCAGTAAGCCCTCAACTTGAACTTGTACCGCACGCTGTCCGGGCGCAGAGCTCGATCATGCCCGTGACCGGCTCCCAGAGCCGTCGCGCTTCTCGCGCGTGCGGCGCCACCCCCCCGATCCCGCCGCAGAGGGCGCAGAGCGCCTCGCCGCTGAGCTGCAGCGCGGTGCCGTGCTTGTGGTGGCGCGGGATGGTGCTCGCGACGTGCGCGCCGTCGCGCCAGCTGCGCAAATCGTCGCTCACCAGCGCGCCCAGCCCCGGCCGGCCGCGGTAGGTGCACTGTGCTGCGGGCTCGGAGGCAGAGGCGGCGGCCGGCCGGCCTCCGTCGAGGCCGGACGAGACGAGCCGCTCGCAGGCTTGATGACCGGGCGGTGCGGCGAGCTTGAGCGGGCAGTCGGTGCGGTAGCCGTCGTAGAGGACGACCCACGCCGCCGAGCCTATAGCGGAGGCTCGAGGCTCAGAGAGGGCTAAGGGAAGGCTCCCTCCACCCACCTCTCCGCGCGGGGCCGCCCCGAGGCGACCCGGGCATCCTGCGACCCCACTGCCACACTACTCTCTCTGAACAGCAGCTCGCTCCGTGCTGAGGGCAGGGCGTGCGGAAGAGGTTTTACCTCTCGGCCGCCTCTCGGCTGCCTCTCGCCTGGCATGATGAAGAGTGCGGGCCCCTCGGCGCACTGGTGCGAGATTGCGTCGCTCCATACAGGCGTCCTGTCGAGCGGCGCAGCGGCGAAGGGCCCGAACGGCGACGGGCCGACCAGCAGCCGCAGGACGAGCGTGCAGCGAGCCGCGCCGAGCGGGGCGCCTCGCTGCCCGCGACGCCACTCGCACGGCGAGGACGGGTCGCCATTCTTCTCGCTCTTGTAGACGACGTACGTCCGCTCCGCACCCGGCCCGCCGGAGAGTCGGTCGGGTCGAGGCGGCGCCCCGCGCGCCTCCGACTTGTTGGGCGGGTGCGGCGCTCGGAACAGCAGCGCGTCGATCGCCGACTCGGCGTAGAGAGGCTCGAACAGCAGCGCGGGAGGCGTCCACCGCTCGAAGTCCGAGGTGAGCATCTGGTACGGGCGGTGCCGCGAGGCGCCCGCGCTCGGCCCAAAGTCCCACGGGCAGTCGCTCAGCTCCTCGCTCCCCGAGGCCGGCGTCGAGATTGAGACGACCACCATTGCCACCGCGAGCCGGCCGTCGGCGGAGAGAGGGCCGCGCGAGGCCGCCTCCGCGCGCGTCAGCAGGTAGATCTCCGGCGCCCACACGTTGCACGCCCCCGGGAGTGGGACCGTCACCGGCCTCGAGTCGCTCCACGAGAGCAGGTCGCGGGAGCGAGCGTACCCGAAGCGGGCTGGCAGGCCGTCGCGCCGCTGGCGCCGGTCGCAATGAAAGGCGAGCGTCGGCAGGCCGGCGCACAGCTCCGTCGTGAAGACGAGGTGGAACCAGCCGTCGTGAAAGGCGACCGACGGGTCGCGGAACACGGTCGGCTCGCCGCCCGCCCACGCGGCGCCTCGCGCGTCCCGGCCGGGCGTGAAGACGAGCGGGTCGCCGGTGAGCGGCACAAAGGCGGCCGGCCCGCCTCCGAGCGTTAGGCCAAGCACGTGCATGCCCTCGCCGAGCACCCTCCCGTCGGTGAAGGTGGTGAGTACCCATGCGTCGGTGAGCGCGGCCGGCGCAAGCTGGCCGGCCCGCTGCTGCGGCTGCGGCTGCGGCTGCGCCCAGCGGACGTTGTTGCCGAGCAGGAGGAGCACAGCGGCCACGCCGGCGAGCACGACAAGCCTCACCATGGCTGCTGACCACGGATTTTAAGGAGAGGAGTGTGGTGCTCACGCGGGGGGTGCCCGTCCCGTGCCCAGTGTTGCACTGTCGTCGTATGCGAGGTTCTTTGTGTCTCTACTGTGAACCAGGGCTCGCTCCTCAACCTCTCACAGAGCGGCGCACAGCGCCATTGCACGTATTTCTTCTCAATAACATAACACAGTCCTGCCAGAATACGTTTTCCACGTATTCCAAATGACCTCCCAGAGGCCTGTATTCTGCCGTATTCCACTCGTATTCCACGTATTCCATGGAATACGCCGTATTCCAAGCTCCAAAAATGGACGTATTGCGTATAAAGGAGGGTTCCAAGCGAACCAGTTTAGACCAGTTTAGACGACTGCTAAACACGAACCAGATTAGTCCTGTTTACGATAAACCGGGTCTAAACCTGGTATGGCTAATGGGGTTCCTCCCCCCCTCGCCCCCGCGTAGCCCGCACCTCCCTCCCCCCCGCCTAGCTCCCCTGCCTGCTCTGAGAGAGACGCGGCTCTCAGCGGCACGCGCAAGCGTCAGTCAGCGGCCTTGCTTCTTCTCGCGCTGGTCGAGGTTGTGCATGGCAATCTTGAGGGTCCACGCGGCCGCGTCGAGGACTCTTCCGACAGCTTCGCCGTGTCGAAGATCTGCTTGCAGAAGCCGCAGCGCGTCCCCTCATCTTTCGCGCGGTACGTCGGGAGCGAGGCCAGGAACATCGCCTGCAAGCATTTGGTGAGGGGCAGTGAGTACCACTGCTCAACCCAACACCACTTCTACTAGCACCTTTGCGGCCGTTGAAATCAACGCGCTTCCGCTTCTTGCCAGGCGCAGGCGCCGCCAGCTGGTCTGTCGCCGCGCCCGACGTCGCGCCCTAACACCGACCGTGCGCCTGATCGGCGAGGCTGTTGTTGCGCGGTGCAAGTGTGCCAGGTGTGCTGTCCGGCCCGAGGCAGAGGGCGGCTGCACGCTGCCGCTTCCGCAGCCACAGCGCGGCCGCGGCGGCGGAGCTAGCTAGGGGCGCCCTAAACCGGGTCTAAACCTGGTATGGCTAATGGGGCCCCCCACCCAGGGCCAGGCCGAGCCCTGTTTAGACCCAGTTTATCGTAAACAGGACTAATCTGGTTCGTGTTCAGCCGTGGTCTAAACATGGTCTAAACATGGTCTAAACTGGTTCGCTTGATACCCTCATGTATAAAAATTTCTTGGCTCCGCGAATTCAGACAGTAGGAACATAAGGCTGTGAATGAGTCCCGCTCGCGACACTCGCTCTCGGCGCCGGCCCCACAGCCTATCCGTCGTGTCGTGGTACGCGCCGACCGTTGCGCCGCTGAGCCGCTAGCCCGCTACCCTTGGGTGGCGCGGCCCGCCACGCTCGCCTGGCCGAAGCGCGAGGCCGCGATCGTCGCCATGCTCGGGAGGCTCGATGCCGATGTCGTGTGCCTGCAGGAGGTCGAGGTGGCGCTGTGGGACGGCCCCCTGCGCCGAACTCACCAGCCTGGGGTAGAGCGGCGTCCTGCAGGAGACGCAGGCAGCGGAGCACTTGCGACTTGGTCTTGGAGCACTTGGAGTCGCCGCAGCACGCCCGTTCTTTTTCGCACACGCCAGTCCCGTGCCGGGTAAAAGAAAGAAAGAAAACAGACAAACCAAACGAGGGATGGGAGGAGGACAGGGTGGTCCCCACCTGCACGAGCAGGATTTTGGAAGGACGATCAGGGACACCGGGGAACGGGAGTGGGGAGCGCATCGCGACACGGAGGGGGGCTGGGCAAAAAGAAAGAAAGAAAGAAGCAGACAACCCAAGGGGGGGCTGGGCAGGGTTCACTGTGCGTGCCTTCAAAATTCTTTTTCGCACAACACTGGGCACGGGACTGGCGCGCACTGGCACTAACACAGGTTGGGAGTCCGTGCTAAAATTCTTTTTCGCACGACAAGCCGTTGTGCTCGCGTTGTGGGAAGGCGTGCCCGCCTCTGGGCTGGCCATGGCCCGAGTCGCCACCATCGTGCCGCTGTCTCCGCTTGACCCCAACACCGCGCCCCGCGCGCACGCCGACGGCCTGAGCAGCCATCAGCGCGAGCTGGAAGACCTCATGTCAACTTTCTCACGGATGCGCGAAGAGGCGTGCACGAGCTTCCATCCCGCCGCGCACGAGTACCTACTGCGCGCGCTGTGGACGGCCGCCTTTGGCGCCGCGGACGCGGACGCCTTTGCGCCCTCGACGGAGCGCTGGAAGGACCTCGGCTTTCAGAGCGAGGAGGCGGCCAAGGACTTTCGCGGCGCGGGCGTGATGGGCCTGCACCACCTGCTGGCGGTGGTCAACTCGGGCCGCGTGCCACTGGCCGCCGCGGCGCGGGCGGGCTTCCCCCTCGCCGCCGCGTCGATCAACGCCACGGCGGTGCTGCAAGCCTACTTTGGGGTCAACCTGCGCGTCGCGTCGCCGCTGCGGAGGTCGGCGCGGCGCCGGTGCCCCGAGCGGACGCTGCACGAGCTCCTCCTCCGCGGCGGCCTGCAGCCGCTGCAGGAGCTCCACACGGAGCTGGCGGTGCATCTCTGGCGCGTCTGGTCCGAGAGGCCCCGCGACTTGATGGGCTTCCCGGCGGTGCTCGACGAGGCGTGCGCGGACCTGCACGAGGTGCTGCAGGAGGCGACCGCGGCGGCGGCCGCCTGGGCGGAGGCGACCGACGCGGGGGCACGGCGCGCCGAGGAGGTGGGCGCCGCGGGCGCCGCCGCGGACGCCGCCGCCGCCGCGGCGGACGCCGCCGCCGCCGCGGGCGCCGCGTGCACCGCGTGCTCGACGCCGGGGGCGCCGCTCGCTCTCGGCGAGGCGCTGATGGCGAGGCGGCGCGCGTCGCGGCTCGGCGTGAGCCCGCAGGTCTTGGAGACCCTGGACGTGTGCGCCTCGGCCGTGTCGACGCTGATGGGGCAGTGCGTCTGCTCGAACGGGAGGTGAGCGGGCTGCCCCCGGTGAGAGAGTGAGAGTGTTGCGGCTGTTGTGGGGGGGGGGGGGGAAGGAGGAATCAGAAAAAGAATTGCAAAAACGTCGGTCTCGCCTCCCCTTCCCCCTCGGACGGAGGCTCCGCCGAGGCGGTGTTTGGCGCGGGCGCTTTTTGACCGCGCAAGATAAAACGGGGTGGCTAAGGGCTCTGCCCGCAAGGCGCCCGCGTCGCAGACGCGGTACCATTGACAAATCTGCGATATACCCCCACACGAGCAAATAGCAAAATCCGAATACCGTGCACGAATCCGGCGATGTGGGCCGTGCAAGCCTTCAGTGGAAGGAAGGATCTCAGATATGAGGTATTTTTATCTCGCCGCGTCTGTGTCGTACTACAATATTGCAAGAATAGCCGCCAATATTGCCATAGCTGCCCTGATGCGTTCCTCTAGTTTGGTCAGATATCCCCACTCCCGTACACCGAGCCAGCGCAACCGGTACGTGGGTACAGCCTGATACGCGACATGCAGTCTCATCATACTGCAATACTGCATGAGATACCTCCCCTTACTGCTGTACCTCACATGCACACCATATCCCAATACGGCGAAGTAATCATACTTGGATACTGCATCACAGCTCCATCCGTACTGCTGTACTGGGGCATACTGGAGAATACTGGAGAATACTGCTCCATACTGGTGCATGTGCAGTGCTGCGGCGGGATCTACCACTCGGCTGCCAGACTCACTAGAGCACCCGGAGCCAGAACTCACACTCCCAGGTTGCAACTGCTAGCAGCGGCGCTCGGCGGCGCACCTGGCCTTGCAAGGGCTAGCTAGCTTAATGCCGGCCGCATACTGCAACTGCTGCTGGGCGGTCCTTGCTCAATGGATTGATCCAGCGCTCGTCGATGGGCAGTCCTAAAGAGGCAACGAGGCATCCTGAAGAGGCCGGCCTATCCTGCAGCGGCATCACAAACAGGTTGTGGTTGCAGGTGCGCGCGCGCCCACGCACACGCAGAGCCACCACGCCGCCTCTTCCCACTCCCACTGATGCGAGTTTGACTGTGGCGAGGTGTGACTCATGAGATGTGACTCTCGTGGGTGGTGGTGGAACACGGCGATCGAGCAGGGGTGCTAGGACGGGACGCACCAGACGGGATGAACCAATGGATTGTGTCCACCGTCCCCAGAATGCGCAGTCCGCAACCGTCGTACTTGTGGCTGAGCTCGTCGCAACGCGGAGGGAGGAGAGGCCTTTGTGGATTTGTGCCCCGATGATCCACAGCACGGCGATCGCTCTGTCGCCAAGCCCCACGGAACGCGCACTAGTGCAAGTCGCGCCGCACCCCAAGTGCCCCCGACCGCGCCTGGAAAAAGAAAAGAAAGCCTCTGCTTTACTGAAATATTCGAATCAGAAAACGGGGGGCTGGCGCTGCACCAGGCCAATGGCTTGGGACGCAAGCGCAATCTGCGCCACAACACATCGCACAAGCGCAATCTGCGCCACAACACATCGCACACGCAAGCAGATGACCACACAATCCGCTTGTGGTCGCTTCTGGTGGGCGGCAGGACATTGCCGACCGCGCCGCTGTATTTGTCCCAAGCCGTCTGCAACGTGCTTGGAAGGAAGCCAGTGTCATACAGTGTACCGCGCCTGGTGCCACAGTCCCGCACGGTGTAGGTCAGGGGCATGCCCGCCACGAGGGCGAGCATGCCGACCGAATGCATGTGTCGCACAAACCTCATATTCGTGCGTCCCCCCAAATTTAGGTATTGAAGACTCTGCTTCGCTCCTTCTTTTGTTTTTTTCATGTTGAGGACTTGCCACTCGAGAGGCCGCCGTCGACTCTCCAGCAAAGGCGACGCGCCACTGCGCATTGAATCGCATGTTTCCCGAACCGCACACACAAAAACGACTCACGCACATACCTCGTGCGCACGGCTGCCGTCTTGGTGCAACGAACGAGGCTGGCAGATAGCGCGACCGCAGACTGGCAAACGCGACAGGACGTTGCCCAGGACAAGAGCGGCTCCAAAGTTTGGTCTCTTCATTCATTTAGGAACGGGGACGAGATGTCCACATTCAGCTTGCCTGGCCAGACATACTCCTGTGCTGACACGCAGCGCCAAATACAGCCGGCACCAGCATTCGTGAGAACTCTTGCCGTGCGCACCCCCGTACAACATCCTGTTACCACTACCTTCGGCACTGCGGGATTGATGCATTTGCTCGAGCCGTCCCATTCCAACGCCAACGATTGCGACTTTGGAGCTACTGCCAGCTTCTCACCTCTCCCCCTCGATGTGCACATGCACATGCACACATTACGTATGTGTCGCTTCCCGACGTTGCGCACTCGGTCGGGATCAAACACGAGGACAGTGGCGGCCCTGGCAAAACTGCGCAGCATCACCGGTTTCAAGAAGAGCAAAATTGAGCCAGAGGCGCGCTACCTGCTGTGTCACTGTCTGGCCCGATGCCTCCCCTCATACTGCTGTACTGGGCCATACTGGAGAATACTGGAGAATACTGGCAGATACTGCACTGGTGCTTCCGAGATACTGCGATACTCCAAGGCTCGACATACCCAATTATGATGCAGTACACCAGTACCCATACTCTGGGAGGCGCCCGGCGTACCTGCATACGTCCTAGCGTGCCGCGCCTACTGCCATATTGCGTCGTATTGCGCCGCAGCCTCCCAGTTACTCCGCTACTTCGCCCACACACTGAAAGAGATAAAATCAAGTATTTAAAGTATGTGTACTTGTGATTGGACTGGAAATACGTGTGTATTTCAGTTCAGCAGTGTTGTACTAGCATACTCCCATACATGAATTATACCTGAAATCCTCCTTTCCACTCACACGTCCGGGGTATAGAGAGCCGAATCTGACGGCCCCACCAGCGCCACACCAACGACATCCGGCATACCGCGCGACCCCCCCATCGACAGCAACTACGGGCGCAACTACTCCAACTACTCCGCGAGCGACATGCCTCCGTCTCCACGGGTCTGTGCCACGGCGACGCTGCAGGCACGCCTCGAGGCCAACCGGGGCGAGCTGGCCCGCGTGCGCGTGAGCAGAGTCCACTCGTCACCGCCCGCTGCCAGGGCTGAGCCGGCGGACGCCGCTCCGGCGGCGGCGGTGGCGGTGGCTGCGGCGACGGCGACGGCGAGTGCGGCCGACGAGACCATCGCGGCACTGCGCGAGGAGGTCAGGGCGCTGCGCGAGGAGCGAGCACGCTCCGCCGAGGAGCGCGAGCGGCACCAGCGTCAGGCGCAGATCCACGCGACGCTGCTGGCGGCGGCCCACGCCGAGGCGCAGTCGCGCGTTGAGGAGATGCGGCGCGAGCAAGAGACGTCTCGCGCCGAGATGGCGAGCACGGAGGCGCGGCTCGCCGCGGCGAACGTCGAGCTCTCGCGCCTGCGCGCTGGCCGCGAGGCGAGGGCCTCGTGCGCGGAGGCCGAGATTGCGGCGGCGCAGGCGCGGCTCGAGGCGGCGGCGCTGCGCGAGAGGCTGTGTGCGGCAGTCGACCGCGCCACTTTGACGCGAGAGGTGCGGGCGCTGGACGAGCAGCACGCAGCCGCAGGAGGGGGCCCTCCCGCCGGAGCACCGCCTGTGCAGCGCGGGGTGGTGTCCTTGGGCGAGTTTGCTGCGGCCGAGGCGCAGTCTGCGCTCGAGAGCCAGAGGCGGCTTGCGCGGCTGGAGAGGCTCGAGGAGGTGGCCGAGGCGGCGGCGAAGCGCTTTGCGGCGCTGGCTCGGGTGAAGGGGCGACGCATAGAGGCCCCGCGGGTCGCACCGGCGCGCGCAGTCTCATGACGAGTCATGTTTCTCATTGGTCAATCGATTTTGGGTCACATGTTCTCACGGTTTCTCACACTCCCCTCTCCCCCGTCACACGCATATACATGTGCATCATGTGCGGAGGGAGTCGTTGTTGCTTCTCTCTCCGCGACCGCCAAATCCCAAAATATACATGTTATTTAATTTTTTATAATTTATCTTTTATGATCATGCTCATGTCGGAGACGGGGACAGAGAGGCATGTGTCTCGACCTGACTCCTGAGAGATAGCGCTGTAACTTGTGTACTCTCTCTCGCGGTGAGGCCGTGTTCGCGCGTGCATACGCGGCTAGGGACTATAGGCGACTCGCTACCGGTCTAGGCGCCGGAGCCCCCCCCTCCCCCCCCCCC